CACGAACCACATTAAGTTTCTTCTCCACCCTGCCGATCACAATTATCACAAGTGGAAGACTTTCTTCCTGATGGTCCTGGTTCGCTACGGCGTCTCCTACCTCCTCGACCACCCTCCACCTCCCAATGCTCCGTCCCAGTACCTTGAGCTCGACGCCCACATCGTTCTGTGGATCTATGCCACTCTCTCGGACACCATGTGTGACCACGTTGTTGGAGCCACCACCACCTACGCCCTCTGGAACAAGATCAAAGATTTCTTCCTCGCCAATCGCGACGCCCGCTTCATGATCCTCAACCGCCAATACCGTAACCTCAAGCAGGGTGATCTATCGGTGTCGGAGTACACCCGCCGTCTCAAACTCCTTACCGACGCTCTCGCCGATATCGACCACGCCGTCACCGAGGTGGATCTCACCACGCAGTTTCTTCACGGCCTCGACAAGCGGCTCGACACCATCCGTGTCGTCCTCGGCGACCAGGGCCTCCCCTTCGACACCGTCCTCTCTCGCGTTGTCCTTGTGGAGGAGTCGCAGGCATAGCGCGCTGCGGAGGAAGGCGCCTCCGCGTTCGCCATGGCGGGCGGCAGCTCTTCAGGCGGTGGTTCTTCGGCCGGCTCCTCTGGCAGTCGCGGCTCGGGCGACCGTGCGGCCGATCGCTCCTACGATCGCGCCCCCGACGCCCCTCACCCGCCGTCCAACTCGTGTGGTCGCGGGCGTGGTGACCGCTCTGGCGACGGTGATGACCGTGGCCGCGGGCGCGGGCGTGGCCGTGGACGCGGCGATCACTCCGGGCGCGGTCAGCAGGCACCGCAGTTCTCTCCCTTCACGGGGTATTTCGCCCCGTACGGGATGGCTCTCCCGACACCCCGCCCTGGCTGGATCCCGCCGAACGCCGCCGGCGTTCTTGGGCCCCGACCCGGTGCTCACGCCCATGCTTACCCTGCCTTCACACCCTCGCCGGTGCCGTCCACTCCATACTACCAGCCGCCACACGCCCAGCCCTCATGGGACCACCTCGCCATGCTCAACGCCGCCTTCAGCAACGGCGGCTACGCCACGCCACCGGCTCCCGAGTGGTATCTCGACAGTGGCGCGTCCTCGCACGTGACAGGCACCCAAGGTAACCTGACCTCGTTGAGTTCTTCATTCTCGCATTTACCTTCTAGCATTGTTATCGGTAATGGGCATCATCTTCCTGTCACTGCCACGGGCTCTACCACCCTCTCCCCTCATGATTTTCGTCTCACTGACATCCTTGTCTCCCCAAACGTAGTCACCAGCCTCATTCTGTTCGTAAATTTACTAAAGATAATTCTTGCTCTATTGAGTTTTACCCGTGTGGTTTTCTTGTGAAGCATCTTCGCACTCGACGAGTTCTCATGATCTCCGTTAGCCATGGCGATCTCTACCCCTTCATTGACAATAAACCGGCGCCGGCGTCCGCTCTCCTCGCCGGCACACCCGCGGACTTGTGGCATCGTCGCCTTGGGCATCCCGGCGCTCACACTTTTTCTTCCATGTCTCAACATTTTTCGTTAGATTGTAATAAGGATCCTCACTCGCCATGTACTGCTTGCCAACTTGGCCGCCAGCCTCGTTTACCATTTCCCTCTTCCTTTAGCAAAACTTATGCCCCTTTTGATTTAATACACTGTGATTTATGGACGTCACCTGTTGTCAGCTTCTCTGGTTTCCAATACTATCTTGTGGTGCTTGATGATTTTACACATTACTCGTGGACCTTCCCACTTCGCCACAAATCCGAAACTTCCACGGTTCTTCAACGCTTTTTTATGTTTATTTACACCCAATTCCATGTAATCATCAAAAGCATGCAGTGTGACAACGGTGGTGAATTTATCAACTCATCTCTTCGCGCCTTCTTCTCCTCCAACGGCATCGCCTATCGCTTCTCTTGCCCCCATACTTCCCCCCAAAATGGCAAGGCGGAACGCATGATTCGCACCACTAATGATGTCATGCGTACCCTTCTTCTTCAAGCCACCCTCACGCCACCCTTTTGGGTTGAAGCCCTACACACGGCCACATACCTCCTCAACCGGCGCCCCTCGCGTGTCATTGCGCCCCACACACCTCATTATCCCCTCTATGGTGTTGCCCCCACATATGACCATCTTCGTGTCTTCGGCTGCTTATGCTTCCCGAACCAATACGCCACCATGGCCAACAAGCTCGCCCCCCGGTCGTCCCGCTGCGTTTTCCTTGGCTATTCCCTTGAGCACAAGGGTTACCGGTGCTTTGACCTCGCCACCCGCCGCGTCATCGTCTCTCGCCACGTTATATTCGATGAAACAATTTTTCCATACACGGGAAGCACGCCGGACCACACCACCGTTACGTCCACAAATGATCCCCATGCAGCCCGCCTGCCCAGCCCCGCCTTCCCTGGATCCATCCCACCTACCCCGCCTGGACCCCACCACCCATCAGCTTCCGCCCCCAGCCAACCGTTTCCTCCCACGCCGCCCGCTGCGCCCACTCCCTCGTCCCCCGCGTCCGCATCGTCCTCGGATCACGAGCCCACCATCGAATCCAACCAACCCAGTCCCGCCGCATCCCCATCGGATCACGCACCAACCACCCCACCTACCTCGCCCGGTCCCGCCGCATCCCTCTCGGATCGCACGCCCACTCCCGCCCCTGGCTCGCTTGTTCCCAGCGCCTCGCCACTGGCCACTTCATCTAGTCCAACTCCTGTCGCCTCGCCTGGTCCCACTGAATCCTCCTCGACCCGCTCGCCCCCCCAGTACGCCTTCGCCACCTCTTCCACCCCATGCCATTCCCTTACAGCCACCCAACAATGCACACCGCATGACCACCCGTGCCAAAACCGGTTACTTAATGCCTAAACGGCTATTTCTTGCTGACGCCTCCTCCACCATCTCACCCATTCCTCCCACGTATAAATCCGCTCTCAAGGATCCCCATTGGCGTCAAGCAATGTTAGATGAGTTTAATGCATTAATGAACAACTTCACTTGGTCTTTGGTCCCTAAGCCTGCAGGTGAGAATGTGGTCACGGGCAAGTGGATTTTTTGGCACAAGTTCAACACGGATGGGTCTTTGGCACGGTACAAGGCACGGTGGGTCGTTCGTGGATTCACACAACAAGAGGGTGTGGACTATGATGAAACTTTCAGTCCGGTGGTCAAGCCAGCAACTATTCGGGTGGTCTTGAGTCTTGCCACCTCTCATTCATGGCCCATCCATCAACTTGACGTCAAGAATGCATTTCTTCATGGTGAGCTCAATGAGACTGTGTATTGCTCGCAATCGGCTGGTTTTGTGGACTCCTCCAAGCCGGACCATGTGTGTCTTCTCCACAAGTCACTCTATGGTCTTAAGCAAGCTCCTCGGACGTGGTTTTTGCGCTTCCAAGCCTTCCTCTTATCTCTTGGGTTTCGGGCATCCAAGAGTGACACCTCCCTCTTCATCCTCCACCATGGTAACTCCCTTGCCTACCTTCTTGTATATGTGGATGACATCATCCTCACCGCGAGCTCTCCTCACACCCTCACCCACATTATCACCTCTCTCAAGTGGGAGTTTGCCATGACTGATCTTGGCACTTTGCACCATTTCCTCGGCATCAATGTTACTACCAACCAGTCCGGCCTCTTCCTATGCCAACAACAGTACACACTAGAGCTTCTTCAACGCGCCAACATGCTCAACTGCAAGCCCGTTTCCACCCCGGTTGACACAAGCTCTAAACTTTCCTCCCATGAAGGCCATCTCCTCTCTAATCCGACCCACTATCGTAGCATCACCGGCGCCTTACAATATCTTACCCTCACACGCCCGGACATCACATATGCCGTCCAACAAGCTTGCTTATTCATGCATGCTCCTCGTGACATACACATGTAGCTTGTGAAGCGCATTCTCCGCTACTTACAAGGCACCTCCCATTATGGTCTTCAGCTTTTTCGATCTCCTTCCAAGGACCTCATTGCATACACCGATGCTGATTGGGCCGGGTGCCCGGATACACGCAAGTCCACTTCCGGCTTTTGTGTGTTCCTTGGTGCAAACCTCATCTCATGGTCATCCAAGAGGCAGCCCACCATCTCACGATCCAGTGCCGAGGCTGAATATCGTGGTGTTGCAAATTGTGTGGCTGAATCTTGTTGGCTCCGGCACCTTCTTCATGAGCTCAAGGTTCCTCCGACACGTGCCACCGTGGTATATTGTGACAACATCAGTGCTTCCTATCTCGCGAGCAATCCGGTCCAGCATCAATGAACCAAGCACATTGAGATTGATCTACACTTCGTTCGGGATCGAGTGGCTCTTGGCGAAGTGCGCGTCTTGCATGTGCCTTCCAGCTCCCAATATGCCGACATCTTCACCAAGGGCCTGCCCTCGCCATTGTTTACCAATTTTCGGTCCAGCCTGAACATCCTTCCCAATGGAGTTCCGGCTGAAGGGGGTGTTGAGTTGTGTATTTTTGTACCACTTGTGACGTTATATTGGCATGTTGTAACGATCCTAGATTGTAGGATCTGAGGGCCTGCGTGCCACATCTCTCGGGACTCTCTCTCCCTCTATATGTATACCCGATGTGTAACAGAATCAATTAAGGGAATTTTGCACAATCACTTTCCAACTAAGGCATCATCAGGTTTTGACAAGATCTGCTGGGCATATCACCACAAGGTCCTTGGAGCTACAGCGTTCGTCGCTTTCTCTACGGATATACTACGGCTAAGCGCCACCGGGATCGGACCGGCCATGCACAGGCCATGACGGCAGCGCGTCGGCCTGCTAACCTGACAAAAAGGGCAGAAACCTGGCGGCGGCGCGCCGGAGGGTAACGGCTGCCAACGATCGACGCCGGCGCCGGTGGGCCACCCGAGCATGTGTGGCTCTGCCCTGCCGCCTCCGCCGATCTGGCCCTGTTCAACGGTCACACGACATGATGCTCTGGGCTGGTCAGTAAGCTGTTTCAGTCAGGGGATCATTGATCACAGGTTTATTACTGTATCACTTTACCATCTGGAGCATGCTGCTGCGCGGGATGGTGGAGCAGTGATCGGCCTCCGGGAACCTCAGCGCCGGTGTTATCGACGTCGGCGAAGGCCTCATCCAGATGCTCCTGTTCCTGCCGGGGTGCCATGGCGCCGTCGCCTCCTCCTCCTCCGGCATTTCGAACTGGTCCCCAAACAAACAGTTTCAGTTTCAGTGTCAGTGCCTGAAGCAACTCAGTCATGTGTAGCTAGCAACAATGTGCAACAACAGAATTCAGTGCGTCCTAGGCATACCGTCAGGCTCGTCCTCCGGCTGCCCGGCACGGCTGCGGTGTGGGGGGTGTCGCCGCTGGTGACCATGGAGGGATCGCCACCGCCGGAGCAGCCCAGGCTGAGCTCAAGATCAGGCTCGCCGCCCCAAGCTATAACAAACAATGCCAACAACAATTCATTTTCAGAACAAGCCAAGTCTGCAACCAAAATGAGTTTGTTGTCGTCAGTCAGGGAGCTCACCTTGCAGGCCGAGTGAGCCGTCGCACACCGCCGCTGCCGCCTTGGGCTCGAAGTTGGTCACCGCCTCCTCGCCGCTGCAGTCGAGTGCCGCCTTGTCGTAAGCCCTGGTCATCCAGTCAATCACACAGCACAGGGACGGAAATCATCAGCAAACATGAGATAAGATCATCCGTGGCACAAAAACAGAATGAGCATCAGTGAAGAAACAGGGAGGAGATTGCATACTTTGCAGCGTCCATCTCCGTGTCATACAAGCCAAGGTACACGAACCTGGAATGATCAGCACAAGATCAGTTAAATCTTTTCATGTTCATATCTGTGGGGAATTGACAAGCTCAAACACATTATGCCCTGACGAATCATATGAAGAGAAGGTAGATTGCTCACTTCTTGCCCATGAGCTGGCCGATCCTGGCCTCCCACTTGCCGCACTTGTGCAGGGTGACGCTGCGGAACCTGGAGCTGCCCCTCACGAACCCGGCGCCCTGCCGCCGCAGCACCTGCACCAGCTCCTCCTTGCTCAACATGCTCATCTGCCATGGCAGCCAGCAAGATCAACAGCATGCCGTCGTTGTCAGAAAACAAAGCAGACATTGCTGACGAGGAAGATGCAGATGGTCACCTTGCCGATGTCCTCCTTGTAGTCGTCCAGCACGAAGTTGATGTCGGCCTCCACGCCGCGGAACTTGATCGCCGCCTGGTCGTACGCCCTGAAATTCAGAGAAGTTCATCTTCTTGAGATTTTTATTCTTCAAATCTTATTGTTTCTCAAGACAAAAAACCAATGTGCATTGCTGGTTGGTTAACCTTGCAGCAGCCTGCGCCGTGTCGAATCCTCCTGCAGAAAACAAAAAAAGAAAGGAAAAAGAAAAATAAGAAGAGAGTTATGAACAGAGCATTGAGGAATCAGTAGACCAACATGGAAGAAGAAAGAACTCACCCAGGTACACCTGCTTCCCGCAGTCCCTGCAGATCCAAGAAACACAGATGAGAGACGCAGAGGCATAATAATTAGTACATAAGCAGAAAGATCGAGAGAAGATGGTTTGCGTAATGATCTTGGGAGCTTGCTGCCGCCATGGATTGGAAGGGGCATACCAGATGTGGGACTCCCAGCGGCCGGTGCGGCGGTAGAAGGTGACGCCGCGGTACTGCGAGCTCCGGGACCGCGGCCCGCGCCGGCTCTTGGTCCTCGACGGCGGCCGGGCCCAGTGCGCAGCCGCCCCGCTCCATGCGAGCTCCGGGACCGCGGCGCACCGCTCCGTCGCCTGCTGCTGCGTCGCCGTCCCCGTTGCCACGGCCGCCGCCGCCGTCGGGAAGAGCTGCTGGGTGACGAAGGCCGGCCGCGCCGCACTGAAGCCGCCGCCAAAGACCGCCCTGCCAGTTCCAGCTCCTCCCTCCACGCTCGCGTCCTCGTCTCCTCTGTTGAAGAAGGCCGCTCGCCTCTCGGTGGCCGTCGACGCCATGGCCGGGTGCATGTGTCTGTCTTCGGCTCTGCGCGCGCGTCCTCGGCTCCGACCGATCGATGGATGGCTTGGACGTGATGGTGATGGAGTATATACCAAGCAGAAGCAGAGCAGTAGCTGGTGGCAGCTCCCTGTCACGTCCACTCCGCTCTGTGTGCGTGCAAGTGTGTGTGTGTGTGTGAGCAGTTGCTGGCGCTGTGATAAAGAATCTGCAGGGCTTGTGTTTGGGCAGCTGCTGATGCCGATGCCGATGCAGATGGCCTGCCTCTGCGTGTCTGCCCGCCAGAGGAAAGGGAAGGGAAGGAAAAGATTTCTCTCAGCCACGCCTCTTCTTTTCATGGATATTTCCCTCCATCCACCAGACCATCGCCCATGACCCTTTCCGTCTTCCATGTACCACTCCCTCGGTTCGGCATCCACAACTGTCACGAGCACGATGCTCCCCGGGTGAGCAGTAAAATCCCCCCAAAAAATAAAATAGCAAAAAGGAAAGCAACTCCGAAATTTTTGAGCATCAAAGATGAACACGTATTCTAAGGGCGCGCAAAATCTCATGATGATTCGACGTTGGAGGAGTTCAGAACAGAGAAAAAACAAAACCATTGCTCCAAAAAAACAGGCATTTCTCAAAACGTAGATGGCCTCGACACTCCTTCAAAGTATGGAAATGTAACACAATCTGCTTGTCATTGATTTTGCAAATATCTCACGCTCAACAAAGCAAATCATAAGATCATTGAGCTAATCATCACCCATCTTATTTCAAAGGTCTGTCTTTATAATGTTCATTAATGACCGAAAAACCCATCAACTGAACTTTTTGGCACCGGCAATATCAACGCAAGTGTAATGAGGTGATAAATCGATGAAAATACCAAATGTTGTCTAGTTTGCACCAACTTGAGAACAAAACAACTCAAACAGTCACAAGCCATGAATTCAGGGCTCTTTTCATAACGTCAATATAAATGTTGAGTTGACCAGTCAAGAGAAATGCTCTTGTGAAGAGAAATCAATAGAGTAAATATATGCAAGCTCACCTATCTTATCGTGATCAATGTTTCTCAATGAGTCTCTAAGATCAAAGCAAGCAATGCACTTTGACAACCGCGTGGAAGTTTCACCAAATCGATTATTCATCTCAACTATGCTTCCATCCAACATCTCACTGATATGGTTAATTACCTTTTAATGATGGAAGCAAGTAACCATTTTGCGTGAGCTTCTTGGGTAACCTCTAGCTGAATGTTGCCATCCACATTGGGCACTTAACTTTTGTAATAGTCTTTTCATTGATATAATCATATTCTTAGCAACAACTATGATTGGATCGTTTGGAGCCTTTTTCGTTTGAGGGACACTGATGGGCAGACTGTTCGATAGAAATTGGGTCGGCAAACGCAACCCAGTGCAGATAAAAACCCAAACACTTTTTCCCTCATGTCGTATCATGTCGTATTTCCTGGCAGAAACAAATAACTAGGTGCTGCCCCCCATTAAAACTCCTCGCCGCTCGCTATCTTCTGCCTATTGGAGGAAGCTGGCTAGGGGGGAGGTGGGGGTGCTCCGCCACCGCTGACCCAAGGCGGATGCCCAACTTGCCCCAGTGTTGGATCCGCCATTGTCAGGCGCTATAGTTTTGAAGTCCAATTGATGGTTAAAGTTAAATCTTGAAAAATGTGTGCACCTTATAAGCTGGAATTGAGCGAGTGATTAGGTGCTCGCATATATTTAACAACTTTGTGCATCAGGTAGTAAGCTGTTGCTCGCTCCACTACAAGTACTTGTCCATTTTAGACATGGATATGCTCTTTGAGATGCAACTTTGAACTTGCTAGTAGAAAAATATAGATACATCTCGAATAGGGTTTCAACGACTCGCTAGCATGAATGCCTCTCCACCCCATCCCTATCCTCTCTTCCTAGACGCCTCACCACAAACCCCTCCTTTCTCCTACTTCACAGCCACACTGCTCCATCCCACCCTACTGGTGGTGCTAGCTAGATCCGGGCGTTCAACGTAATCGTTGGCCACTCACTGTATGTGAGGCACCATTGCAATGATCTTTCAATGTCACCTTGTTTCCTCCTCACATCCCGTTTCAGCCTCCACCGTCCTTCCTAAAATCGCTCTTTCTCAAATAGGTTGCTCCGCAAGTCGTTTGCTCGATACCCCCTGCCCAGCACCCCTCCAACAAAAAAAGAATCACATACTTATAACCATGATAAATCGAGTGATGTTGTCTTCACTCAATTATCAAGCAATAACCTTGTATATATGTCACGGTTAGAAAAATGGATTGCATGCTTTATAGTTTCTAGAATGTTGCATGTTCAAAACAACAGAATTATCATTGTACTTACTAGCTGCGAGTTCATATCATTCAAATGTCAGATGTCTGATCCAAGGAGAATATCGGGTGCTCAAGCACCTTCTGATGCACCCATGCTTAGGGGGCTCCTTTGCCCGCTGGATCATAGATCCAGCGGTAGCAGGGAGAGCTCGCACAAATTTACAAAAATCTCACTGGGAAGTCATGTAATTTCGGGAGGTCCAACAGCTCCGACAGTAAATAGAGGATCTATAATCCAGTGGCGCGGGAGGTCCCGTATAGCATGGTAGCATGGGGGGTGGAAGCACCTAATGCTCTCCTGCCTGATCCAATACAACACACATTCCATCCTCACAAAAGCCACCGTTCCAAGGATAAAATGAAACATTTGAAATTTTGACCAGTAATATTCAGGGCTGAGATCCCACGTAACAGTCCGCACGTACCGACTACTGTACGTCCGCCCGACGTGAACCACGTCGAAACACACCACGCATGCATCGCCCCACACATCCATATATTGCCATCAATGATCAATCCATGGTCCCTAGCTAAGCTTTCTCGGAACTAATCCAATGCATCCGGCCTTTAACGTTTCCTTCCGGTGAAACTCGAAACAGCCTCCTCCGGATTAACTTCAGTCCATGCCAATACTTACCACGGTGTTGCTAGGATTAAAGAGGAGACCTTACTTTGGAGCATTGCGGGAGCAAGGCAGTTGAATAACATAATGCCGCGAGAGTGATTGTTGTAATTTGGCCTTTGGCCTTAACCTCTAAAACTTCTCTCTTAATCAATGAAAATGGCAAATCTTTTGCCTAGTTTCAAAAAAAAAAAATACTTACCACGGTGTTATTCCCTTTTGGCTTCAGTGCAGTGATTGGAGAGAGTTTCATGCATGGGGCGATCTCATGTCACATCTCATGTCCATGCCAATTAAGGAGCCATTCTGTTGTCTTCTTGTCCTTTGGCTAGGGGAGTGATGTTAATTACTACTCCTGTTGGTACTGTGATGATGGGCTTAAGCATGGTTGGTGCGATAATTTAATTTGCAGAGGACCCCAATTTGGTTGCGCAGATAAAGGTTTCCTCTTGTAGATCGCCAGGGGGAAGGTCAGATCCGCCGGACAAACAATTACACTATTACTACGATGCAACTTTTGTGATAGAAAATTATGAACACTAGTCCTTTGATATGCGGATCTAGTGACTAGTGACATCAACTTTATATCACATAAAGTACATACTCCTCACCCTAAAAATAAATAAAGTATATGCTCCTCCTTTTTTTGTAACACTTCTCATTTAGCTTTGTCTTAAGTCAAACTTTGTAAAGTTTGATCAAATTTATAACGAAAATAATATGATCGTCAAATTTGTAAAGTTTGCCGGCTGATTTTGTTTCTATGAACTTGATGAAAGGAAGGGAGTACTATTATCGTAATTGTTGGTCAAAGACTTTTCGTAACGAAACCTAATTAATATGAAAGATATTTTACAACGGAGTGGGTACATTTGCCTGCAAATCAGCCGGCCACTTGGTGCAATGCCAATTAAGGAAGCATTGTTTTGTTCTCTCGTCTTTTAGCTAGGGGAGTGATGATTAATTTGTACTCATGTTGGTACCATGATGGGAATAAATATGGTTGGTGTAATTTAATTATGTAGAGAACATCATTTTCTTTTGCTGATGGAGTTTTTTTTTTCATTATGCAGGGGAAGGTAAGATATTTGGTTACTTCTTACTCAACCAGCATGGCCATTAAGGCCGCGTTCGGCTCCTCTCCGCTCCCTCCACTCCGCTCCGGAGCGGACCAGGTGCTAGCTCATTTTCGCGGAGCTGCAAAAACTGAGCTCCACGACTCCACGGAGTCGGAGCGGTGAGGAGGGATCCCGAACAGAGCCTAAGTTACATATGCTGATATCCATGATGGAAATGTCCAAGCATGCTTTGCCCAAAAGGGCTTGCTTAATTTGCTGGCAGAAAATAGAAGTAGTACTAAGACGAGCAGTAATAAAGAATTCAAGATCGCTTGCAGATGAAACGTCCAACTAACCTAATACAGACCTAAAGAAAACTTGTTCAACTTGCCATAAAAAATGATTAGGATTGACAGCATCTAATGGTGCCATGTTAGTATCTAAAAGACTGTCAATCGGTAGCATGTAAAGAACAATCAGTTATCTTGGCCCAGCTAGCTAGCTGCCCTGTCGACTTACATACAGGACAGGACACCACTTGAGATTACATCAAACTGTCCAATCAACCACAAACCTCTGTGCACTAAAAATTACTAGTAGTAATTAACCTGCATCTGCATTGATCTTCTGAGACCGCCTTTTGTTTTGAAACATGCTGCTTGGAACTAAATAAAGGCGCCCAGCCATGAAGGTGTTAGCTTGTCAATTCAATTGACCACTGGTACCCCCAGAGTTATGATCCTTCCAAAAGCCAAAGAGCTCTCAGAAGGAAGATGATGAGGAACAAAAGCAAGACCATAAAAAGAGGTGTATGCACGTTCGCACTTATCGTGTGTGTTTGGTCCGAGGAGTTATCACCGGTGATTAATCTGGGTCGTGTCCGATGAACTCCCATTATCACACACCTTTGAAATATGACAGTTCAAAGCAATGCCAGCGAAAGGGGGTTTAAACCGTTTGCATGGAACGGCTCTACACCAATGCGTGCATTCACTTCGTCACACCGTACGTAGGAGGAGCTGCCTGCGACTCCACTTGCTTATCCGCCAGTGAAGAGGTGTTTAAGATGACGTGTGTGTCGATCCCACGTAACACTACGTACCACGTCTCACGTTAACCACATCGAAACACATCATCATGATCACCCGACATATCCATATAATATAGCCCCATAAATCCATGGTCCCTAGCAATATTTACAAAGGTGCCATTCATGGTGGACTACTTATGCATGCATGGTGCAATAGTTTCTTGCTCCACCACCCATGGTGAGAAATGCTAGTAATCGAGAGTGGTTGAGACGTTCTTCCCTTGTGACCAGTAAGGCTGAGGAGAAAAAAAAAGAAAAAAGAGAGAAAAGAGGGGCGCAACACGTGCCCTTATAAGTTTTTTTTGTGCGTGTGTGTGTTCGTGTTTTTTTTTGTTTGATGTGATCGATTCTGTGGAGGAATTTCAATAGTCTAATGAAACGATCTCATGTCCATGCCAACTGAGGGAGTATTCATTTGCCTAGTTGCTGTTTAAGGGAGTGATGAACTGATGATCAATCATTACTCTTATCCATATTATGCTTGAGTTTGCTTCAACGAGAGTTTGGAGGTTTTCTCTCTCTTCTTTGTGTATGTGTGCTGATGTTGGCTGTGTCCATCCTAGTCGTGTAGAGGTTGGGGTGTACTGATAGTGCTTGTATTCTCTTGATGCGACATTATAAATTAATAAAATCCACCCTTTATAAAAGAAGTACGATTGATGTAATCTCATTACCAGATGATCCCATTTTGTGGCATAGCCACAGGTTTCTGTTGATAGATTATGCAGGGGAAGGTCAGGTTAACAATTACACTATTACTACATATAACTTCTGTGATGCAAAATTATGACCACAAGTAAGTTTGGAAAACAGATCTAATGGTATCAACTCTATGCATGTTAGCAAGAAGTATATAGAGTAATTGTTGGTTAAAGACTTATCCTGACAGAACCTTATACTATTGAAGGTATTTTGCAACTAAGGGAGCACTACTGCTCCTGCCTCGCATCTCAAAATCCCATGCCTACTTTTTTTTACTAATGTCAAGGATCCAATAAAGTCACAAAGCCGCGCAATGATTTTTTTTTTCTGAAACAAGGAATTTTTTTGCCATTTTCATTGATTAACAAGAAGTGAGGATTGTCCGGTTAATTGACCAGAAACCGGCCTAAAACCGATACACCCCAACCCACAAACACATGGGCATCACCGGCCAACTTGGCCACCGACATGCAACAAAAGCCACGACGGTACATGCCAACAAATGGCCACACACACAAACAACCGACAGCTCTGACTTTGACGACGAGCATCGCCTGAGAAATATGCAGGAGTTGCGCCGACTGTGCCCACTGCAAACGACCACCAAGCGCCTGTCATCATCACCACCTTGACTCGCTCCACCGCAGCTCCGACTTCAAAGCAACTAAGCAACCCATGGAAGAGCACCTTGGACACGCCGGGAAGATCCGACTACCAAAACCCGAGCCGCGACCCAAGCTCCTCTCGACGCCATCATTGCTACCAAACAGAAATCAGCGCCCCCGAAACGGCCGCCTCAACAAACCACGCGGTGAAGATGCCGCCATCCACCGCGGCGATGATGCCGTCATCCACTGGTCTCCAGTTGTAGCTGGCTCCGAGGCGATGCCCCCAAGAAGGTAGAAGACGTGAAGATGCCTTCATTGCCCAATCTTGCAGATCTAAGGTTTCCCTTCGGATCCAAGGCCGCGGGGAAAGGGGAGGAGCAGCACACATCAGCGATGCTTCCAAGAAAGAGCACGACGCCCATGGGCGTCCCGTCGCCGTATCTAGCAAAGGCCGAAGATAGGATTTCTCCCGGTGAAGCTCGACCATCAACTGCCCAAACCGGCCGACCACGAACCGCCGCCCACCAAACCTCGCAGAGCACCAAGGGGAGCACCTCCCTCCAATGCACGCCCCTGCCGAGGCCGTCCTGCGTGACCACCAGGCCAGCAGCCGCAGCGCTGCCGGAACCTTGGCGCCCCCGCCGTCCAACTCCAATCTGGCCACGAGATCCCTTGATCTGCCACGTCCAGAAACTCACCGCCCCCTGGCCAAAGCTGCACAATGAATCAATTAAGCTGAGATGTGTGGCTCAACCACACCATGCATCATGTTTCTCCCTGGAAGAGTCTTTTTTTCTATAAAGAGTGGGTTTTATTGATTCAAAATGGAGCCTTAAGAAGATACATGCACAATAAGCACACACTCGGCCTCTGCATAGATATGATGCACATATATAGCCAATACCAACACACACACACACACACACACACACACACACAAGCCTGCAAATAGCAAAATCATATAATACCAAAGCTATGCATTGGTGAAAAAGGAGAGAAAAGACACACAAAGCGACCAGATCACGATCGACAAACTACAACAAAGACCATATCCGCACTAATCAACTCATGGCATCACACGGACAACGAAGTTTTCCAGAAGCAATGCCTTCAGGAAGAGAGTGATGCTCAGACGTCATCGTCACCGGATCCAACCACCCAAGGCCAGATTCTAGTTTTTCACCCTGGAGAACCAATCTAAGCATGTTCGAGCAATGCCGTCAACAAGGTAACGATGGGAAAACATCGCCATTGCTAGGTATAACCAAAAATCAGGTCAGACCTAGGCTTTCACCCCGGAGCTTGAGACCAGGTGCTTGAGAAGCACCACCATCAAAGTCAATCATGTGTCGTCACCACTACTTTTCCGCAACCCCAAAAGCTACACGTGATGTATCACCGCTGTTGCACAGACACCCCTTTGCGTCAAATCATCGTGCATAGCTTGCATATCCTCGCCAAAGTCAACCACCACATCCGGGGGTTGGTGGCACCGTAATCCGCAGCGAGGCAACCGCCGCAGATCGGAGTGATGACCAACCCGACGGTGGAGCAGGCCGCCGCCGACTACAAATTTGCTGGAGAGAGCCCCCTGGAAGTGTCTAAGACCTTTTCCAATGCATTGGTACATAGGTGAGGTGCTAAGTGTTTTAAAAGTCTTAGCAACTAATGTCCTTAATGCATATGTGCTTAGATTTTTAGCTAAGCTTGCTTTATTTATTTATTTAGCAGTAAGCATTTTGCATAGGTCCACATGCTTAGCATCTTATCCTTTCGGGGTCACCATAATACTCTCTCAACTCTTTAATTGCTTTGCAACATCATTTTTTTTTGTCTATGTGACACCCTTAGCACCTGTACACCGTGAAGCATTGGGAAAGGCCTAACATGCTTTCCCAAAAGAGCTTGTTTGATTTGCTGGAATGCTTGCCGATCAGCATGCAGTCCACTTGTTGGAACGCCGATTAAGGAAGCATTCGTTTGTCTTCTTGTCTTTTAGGGGAATGATAGTGATTAATTAGTACTCCTGTTGGGTACCATGATGGGAATAAATAGGGTTGGTGTAATAACTTTATTATTAGAGGACCCCGGTTATTTCGCAGATGGAAGGATTTTTGTTTACATTATGCAGGGGAAGGCAAGATATTTGATTACTACTTACTCAACCAGCATGGCAAGCTACATGTGCATGATGGAAATGTCTAATCTTGGTAGCTACATATGCATGATATTTGTGCACCAGTATCAACTTTAGGACTTAAACCCAAGTGGGCTAGTTTCACCATAAGAAACCAAACTATCTGAGCTAGGCTCAGCTTGCGTCCATCTAGCGGTCATGGCGGTGGTCTAAGGTGGGAAGGTGTCCCACCAATTTGCTAGTGCCTTTTAGCCTTGGCGTGGAGTACTGATGGAGATGACTATCGGTCGATCTGTTTTCCAAGATGATAACTGAAACACCGTTTCATGCCCGGGGTAAAAAATATTGTCCTAGCCTTTATTGGTAGGGCATAGCAGTGACAAACTTACGTCGTTACCTTTTCGAAGGCGTTGTTTATAGGTTATTGTGACGATCTTCATTGGCTGATCACAGCAACAAGGATGAAAAATCTTTGTCTAGACTGTCTCTGGTCGGATGTGGTGACGATGGTGCGAGGATGTTTATCCCTTCTTGAAGCCGATGTTGTGGAAGAAGTCGACTTAGTATAGATGTTAATTCTATATCTTTGTAATGGTTCAGCTATGGATGCCTTTATTTTGTATTTTTCTGAATAATTAATAAAAATGGACGTGTTTAATATGATGATGCAGAGGCCAGGGGATTAACCTCTTTTGTCGAAAAAAATTTGCCTGCCCTAAACTCTTTGGTGATCGCTGCTTCTTGTTCCTTAATCTTTTTTTGTAAAGAGCGGAAAACCATCTGCCTCTGCATTAAGTGATTCACACGGCCACAAGTTTGACGTGGTATGTAATCTTAGTGAACTTTATGCTCGTTGAGTATTTGGATCTCGCTACGTGGAACACTGCCCTCGTTGGCTTTATTAATTTAAAGGCGAACCCTTCTAGCGCCTTTTAGCTAAAAGAATGAACTAAAAGTAAAACAAGTAATTAAGGTTGCTTGGAGATGAAATGTCCAACTAGCCTAATATAGACCTAAAAGAAGTTGTTTAACTTGCCATAAATGAATGATTAGGATTGACGGTATCTAGTGGTGTCATGTTATTAGTATCTAAAAGACTGTCAATCAGCACCATCGCAGTATAATTAAAGATCAATCAGTTGGCTTTGCCCAGCTAGCTAGCTCCCCTGTCGACTTACAGACATGACAGGACACCACTTGATATTACATCAAACTGTCCAATCAACCACAAGCCTCTTTGCACTAAAATTAACCAACTTGCATTTGCATTGCTCTTCTGAGACCACTTTCACTTTTGTTTTGGAAACATGGTGTCCTGGAGGATGGAGCTAAATAAAGGCGCCCAGCCATGAAGGCATGACCAGATGGTAGCTTGTGAATTCAGTAGGCTGGTAGTTAAAGAGCCCTCAGAAGGAAGATGATGAGGAAGAAAAGCAAGGCCAGAAAAAGAGATGCATGTTTGTATGCAGAACCCATTTATTCATCAACAGACAGTGTGTTCGACCGATGAACCCTACTCCTACACCAGAATGGCCAAGCAGGCTCCATGCATGCAAGGAAGTTGCAGCACATCAATACCAAGGTGAAGAAGAAGGTTTTGTAGTAAAAAGAGTACTGTACATAAAATACAAGTAGGTATATGAAATTATGAATACTCCTCCTGTACATAGGTACCACTGCTAGCTTTGTGGTACACAAATTTATGTTGGCTGATGATGATGATGCGCATGGATTTATGGTGCCGGATCTCCAAGGTGGCCAGTGGCAGTGCTGTCCATCCGTCCATCCATCATCATCATAAACAGAAACAGAAGCAGAAGTAGGGAGAGGGAATCAAATGCAAGGGAGCAAAATGTTTCCATAAGAGGCCAATCCAAGAGTACCTTGTAGGTCCTTCCTTGCGAGCTGTGCTCTCTCTCATCTATCATCGGTCTGCTTCTGTCCTCCCTTGAGGCGACCTGCTGCAGACGCAGAGTCCTTATTTACTGCTCATCAATCACACCTACGTACGTACGTAGTACCACCCTCTGCTTCTTGCTTCCCTGCTGGCCCCAAACTATCACCTCCATGATCTATCCCGTTTCAGCTCAGCTCAGCCCCCCTTGCCATGCATGCTCACCCAATCAAAACTTACACATCCAGTATTATATGCATGCTTGCTTCAGCGTGAGCAAAAAAAAAGAAAAAAACAATTGTTCTGCAAAATCATGAACAAGAACTTCCATGAATGCATAAATGGCGAGTCGCCTTGTATTACCTCCGTCCGCTTTTCTTTTTCTAAATACAATTATATCTAGACAAATATAAGACAAGTAATTCAGGACGGAGTGAGTATCTGATAGTCTGAAACTCTGAACATGTACATTATCCATCTATCTATGCAGAACAACCTTAAACCATCCTTGTTACCGTCAGGACTAAGCAGGGCAACTAAGGCCAACTCCAGCGCACGACCCTATCTTGTCCGGGTGCATGCGTCCGTTTGGGGCTAAACAGACATATATACCAGACGCCCAGCGCGCGAACGCAAACAAACTTTTGTCCATTTGATTTCCGCTTTCGACCCATCTCCGGCTCAAGTTTGGGCCGTCTTTGAGATTAAACAGACTGCGCGCGGACGGGCAGGACGCGTGCACATGTCCTCCCCTGGCCCGCCCGTCGGTGGCACAGGCCTTCTTTTTCCTATCCGCCCCCTCCGCCTCCCCTCCACCGAGCGCTCCAGCCGCACCCTCGCCACTCTCGCCCTCGCCCTCGTCGCCGCTACCATTCCGCTGTGCAGCTCGGAGCGCGCTCGCCCGGCCCCCTTTCCATCGACGCCCCGAGCTACCCAACCACGGCCACCTGATTTGCGCACCCGGCGGTCGGGTTTGGAGCCGATCCGGCCGGGCTTGTGCTCGCCCGGCTGTGGGAGGCCGCGCCGTGCCATGGACTGGCCGGGCACCGGGCCGGAAGGCCCCGACAAGGCCGCATGCAGGTACTGACTCCGCCTCTAGCCGCTCGGATCTACACTGTCGGTGGTTCACCGGAAGATACACGAACGGCCATCGGCCGGGCTCGTTGTTGACCCAAAAGCTCGCCGGCGCACCGTTGCCATTCATTAAGTGCGACGACTGCCCAAAGAAGGTCTTGCGTCGCGTGTCTACAACGCTGAAACATCCTGAATGAGTGTTCATCAAGTG